GCGCTCCCGCCTAGTGATCATCAGCGGCACTGTACTTCTTTAGGCCTTGTGTCCACGTTTCCTCACTTGCTCACTGCTTGACATTCTTTGTACTGTACTTTATATATATCTTGTTGCTTGTCTTGTACTATATCTAGCACTGCATGTGAACTGGCCTTGTGGCCTTTGCTTGTGCTCGGAGTGTGGTGACTTTGTGATCCACCCTGGGCTTGCGTTGCTTTGCTGGACTGGTCTTGTGACCCTTTGTTCTCCCCCACTTTGCCTATGGGGGTGTGTTAAATTGTAATGTGTTATATGTTGGTAGGCTGTAGTGGGGTAGCTGATATGGGGTACAACCCCAACTAGGGTTTGCTACTTGTACCCAATTCTTCCATTCAATGCATTCATTCTTGCCTAGTTCTTTTAACAGCTTAGAGTTTTCATTTGCTTCTTATTCTTAGTTAGTCCTCCCTCTCCTAAATTCATCTCGTTCTGCTAACGGGCTACGGAACTTCCGCTAGGTAAGCTCCTAGCTTACAACTTCAACCTTTTCAATTAGTGTTTGTTAGGTCGACTTGATTCTTACCTAGATTAACTTAGATCTAAACTAGTCCGGCTTAGATCTTGTGTATCCATGTCGACTTAGGCTTGCTGACCATTTCGTCCTAGAAAAAGGGTCGATTTCTTAACTACAAACCCATGCGACTATAGACGTCCTTGTATCTTTTGTGCTAGCCTCATTCCATCCGTTAGTTGCTTTGTCCATTCCCATTCTTTGTTTCTTCGTTATGCATGAAGTTTTGTATCTCTCTTTCTCACTGTGTTCTCGTTCTCTCAGCAGCGTTTCATTTAACATTCCTTCCATCTTTTTCTAAATATCGCCTTCATTCTTAAGTGCTCTTTAGCTGTCTTTAGTTTAATCTTTTTCCGTTCCTTCCGTCTAGCTTTCTGCTGTGGTTCATTTTTTCTCTCCGTACATGTTTTTCACTTCGTTGGTACCTTCCTTGTCGTTCCCTTCTCTTTACCGTCATTTTTCTTTGAAGTTTTGTTCAATTTCAGTGTTATCCGGTCTTTTATTGTGTTCTTTCGTGTCTCTTACCTACCTGTTTCATTTTCTCCTTTCTCTCCGCAAATCTTTTTCTCTCTTCTTCCCATCTTGTTGTGAGAATTAGGCAAAAGAGGAATGAACTAGCAAGAATGGGGATACAAATAGCAAACCCTAGAAGGGTTGTACTCGCTACAGAGCACCCCACTACAGGCTAGAGCATAATATTCTGACACACCCCCATAGCCAAAGTGGGGTGTAATCAGCAGAGGAAACAAAGCAGTACAAGCTCAGGGTGGATCACGATGTCACCACACATTCTGAGCACAAGCAAGAAGCAATAGTTTAAGGTTCACAATTATGAGCAAAGCTAGAGGCAGTCACAGGGGGCAAGTGAGGAGGAGGAGGGCTGGCGAGAGGAGAGTAGATAGGAGGCGACGACTGAAGCTGCAGACACACGGGCAACAGACGGCTCTGGTGCGACAACGTGGCTACCGGGAATGAGTGCCCCGGAGTACAGGAGTAACAGGCTCCGCGGCTAATATGCGCGGCAGGAGCAACGGACCCACAGGCGACGGCGCAACCGGCTCTCTGAGCTACCGGTGGCTAATCGACCCCCGGAATACAGGCGCTGCGGACGACACGACGGCGGCCTCCGCTCAACCTCCTCCAACTGTCCCACACCCCTCGACACACACCCCCTGCTGAACCCCTAGCTCCACTCCCACGGCACCCCCCTTTAAACCCTAACCCTCGGCTCCCACACATCCACCCCCCTCAGCGGCAGCTGCAGCAGTGGGAGACGGCGCACACACACGGCACCCCCATAGCTGCCACCCCCACACTCCTCACCCCCAAACCCTAAAAACGGGCGGAACGGGGGAAGGAGCACGGGGGACGGCGAGGGGGACGGCGCGCGGCCCCCAGGACGCCACCACGGGGCAGCGAGGGGAAATCGGAAGAGGGGGGGGGGGGGGCCGCGGGCGACGGGATCGCGGGGCCGCGGGCGACGGGATCGGGGGGCCGCGGGCGACGGGATCGCGGGGCCGCGGGCGACGGGATCGGGGGGCCGCGGGCGACGGGATCGCGGGGCCGCGGGCGACGGGATCGGGGGGCCGCGGGCGACGGGATCGGGGGGACGCGGGCATCCCCCACGGGAGGAAACCGCCGCGCGCCTCGGGGCGCACGGCGGGGAGAAACCCGCCGCACGCCCCGAGCGCGCGACGGGATGAAGAATCCGTAAAAAAAAATTCGCCGAAGGAGGCGTCGCGCGACCAGTAGAACAGCAGCGGAAGCATTTGGTGGTGGGCCCACCCACAGGATCGACCCAACAGGATCGTCCTGCTATGATAGCATGTTGTGAGAATTAGGCAAAAGAGGAATGAACTAGCAAGAATGGGGATACAAATAGCAAACCCTAGAAGGGTTGTACTCGCTACAGAGCACCCCACTACAGGCTAGAGCATAATATTCTGACACATCTTACTTCCTTTCATCTTTCCTTTCAATTCACTTTTGGCTCTTAAGTGCCCTTTAGACATTGTCTAGTCGTTTCGTCCTTTTTTTGTTGCGTTCCTATGTCATTCCTCTCCTTTTACCCGTTTGATTGTACCCTTCGTTGTCATCTTGTTCCGATATTGTCTAGTGTCTTTCTGACATTTTTGTTATTTTTTTTTTCTTTCATGCCATCAAGAACTCTTTTCCTTTCATTTTTAAATTGCATATACAGTATGTTCTTTGGCTCTCATTTCTGTTCTTAATTGTTTCATCTTGTCATTGTAGACTTCGAGAGAATACTAGGAGCCGTCTTGTTCAGGTTCCTTCTACCAATCTAAACCAGTAAGTTCTCAAAAGTTTTCATTAGTTCATGTTCTTCCTTCCTTCATCGTTTCTTCACTGTATCCTTTCAGCACATCTTAGTTTTTTTAAGTACGGCCCGTTTCCTTCCTTTCTTCCTTCCTCTCCTTCTCATTTCCCGTTTTGTACTTTATAATCTTATGTTCCCCCTCTTGATTTATTCTCCTGCGCTTTTTTTTTTATTTCTCGCTTCTCGTATATCGTCTTCGCCTTGCATGTTATCTTTCCTTCCGTTTTGGTTCCGTCTTTACTTTCGTGCCGTTTTTTCATCTGTATTTCATAATTACATCTCTATCTTTGGTTCTATATTTACCGGTCTTAAACCCTCCATTCTTTTTTCTCCCATCAATTTTTCTTTTACCCCAACTTCTTCCCATGTTCTCAGGACATTTGTTATTCCTTTCGGGACGTTGACTTGAATCTGGAGATATTGTAGCGGTTACTTCTAGGATTCATCATACTTATCTTGCTAATTGTTTTTGCAGCTTTTATTGAGTAGGGTGTGTTTTTGTCCGGGCTTGTCAATGTACATGCATTTGACTGCATGAGTGTGTTTATGCGTATGTCGGTGTGTGTTTGTGTGTGTGTTTGGCATTCATTTATCATTGCATTAATAACATATGTCTGTGAGTTTTAAAAATTAGGATCAAACCATCATTTCCGAGAAGGTTCTTTGCCCACTCAGTGAGTGTGTTCATTTGAACTGGATTTGATGGAATTGACCTTTTTTTTAGATCACACAGATTGTGTTATTTCATGTGACAGTTGGATGATTCAAACGTTAGGCTATTGACTTCCCCCCCATGCTAGGCAGGGGATGCGGCAGCCTAGTGTATGGATCAATTAACTATCACGCATTTTTATTATGTTATATAAGCATTCACATATAGTATATATAAGTATATACCACACATACTACATCAGCATATGCATCATATTTATGCATTATCATTAAACATTTGACTCATAAAACCATTGTTATGCATCCATTCAAACCTCATTTATGCATGACATAATCATTCTACGTATGCATTATCATTATGGAATAAACTGCCACATTTTTACAATAACAGCTATTCATCCATACGAAGAACTTGGAAAACGTGAAAGAACTTTAGTACCATTCTTGGTAAGCTGTTATGGCATACGGTAGTGGCAATCGTTTGTAACGTTCACCATATTTTTTTTTTAGTATAGAGGATGAAAAAAAAAATTGAACATAACGATTGTAATAGGTTGCTTCGCAACCCAAAAAAAAAATCAGAATGTTGAAAACGATTATGGGAATATGCTTTAGATTATCGCTCTTCGCATTACGCTTGTAGGGAAAAAAATCTATGTTCTGGCTGGACCTCAGTACATCGCAACCATCCAGCGCAATCGGAAAAAAAAAAAAGGCAGCATGTGCTGAAGCTAAAATTTTCCTAAGTTTTTCTCCTCACCATTCTCACTCAGCTAGAGATTCTTGTCATGTTCACAAAGATTGTTTCCATTTTTATTATACATGCTTGCTGTAAGTGTAATATACTTCACAATAAGCAGAAAGAACTCTGTACTGTATGCATCCTTATCTCAACTCCAATCGGCTCAAACCTGACTTTCAGGGCGGAAGGGGTGTAGGTGCGATTCCTTCTGAGTTGTGATGGCACTCCAGGTGCCAAATAACACCTCCACGATTGTCGTCGGTCGCACAAGTTCCACAGCCAGCTCAGCCTCCTCAGCGTCACGATTTCGTCGCGTGAGTTCGTCGCGGACGCACTTCGTCGCCAAAGCAGCAACACCAAGCCTGAACCGCACCACCAATGGACTACCGAACCATCCACGTCACCCCGAGCGATATGCCTGGCCCGGTGCGACGTGCCCTCCGTCAAGTTTGTTGCCGTCAAGTAACGATAGCTTTCCGAGTCGCCATCTCACATTTTCGAGACGCGCATTCCATCCCCTCAGAATCAAGGGAAATGCCTTCCCTTTCCTCCCTCCGCCTGCTCCCACCCCACCCTCAATCACACCCATAAATAGCTTGGTAGAACTACTTTCCACCATCGCATTTCGTTCCAGTTTCACACACTAAACTCCTGTTTATTTTCCAAGAAAGCCCGCTTCCCTCGAACTACTCGCAATGGCATACTCGAGAGTTTCCGCGCTAGCCTGCGCGCTGCCCCTGGTGGCGCTCGTCCTCACGTCTTTCTGCCTCAACGCCTCCGCCGAGCTTGCCGTCCCCGAGGCTGCCTCGTCCGCCCTTGCCGCCGCCATGCCCGGCGATCTGGCTCAGCTCGACGCCACCAATGCTCTTGGCGACGACGCTGCGACGAGGAGGATTCTCGACGACGACGACGATGACGATGAGGACAAGAAGAAGAAGGATAAGAAAAAGAAGAAGGATAAGAAGTCGAAGAAGTCTCCCCCCACACCCTCTCCTTCCACTCCCACCCCCACTCCCACTCCCACCACTCCGAACAAGAAGGGCGGCAAGAAGACTCCTCCCACTCCCGCAACCCCCGCAACCCCCGCCACTCCCGGCAAGCCCACCGCTCCCGGCACACCCGCAGGAAAGCCGGCGGTGAAGCTGAGCGGCGCGGATTCGAAGGTGACATCGCTGCTGGAGGCGGCGGCGGTGGACGTCGATAGCGCCAAGGCGAAGCTGTCCGTCAAGACGTACGTCAAGAGCCTGACGGACACGGCGGCGGCGCTGCGCAACGCGGCGATTCTGATCCGCACTGGGCAGCGCACGCTGGTGGCGGGGCAGATCGACAACTCGATCGCCACCATCAACGGCGTGAGCATGATGCTCCCCGCCGGCGGCGCCGACAAGAGCCTGCTCGCCTCCGCGCTCGGCAAGGCGCAGGGCGCCAAGGCCGCGTGGAAGGCGTAACTCGCCCGAGGCTGGATAGGTCGTCGCGGGATTTATTTACAAATGCGCGCCCAGGCGGCGGCGGCTGGTTGGGTCTTTTGTATCGAAATTTTTATACAGGCGCGAAACTAGCCGTTGGGTCCTTAGCTGATTGGCGTAGCAGTTTAGTACTCATATGATGCCAGCACCGATTAGTAATAACTCGTGCCTGTTGTGGCCAAACGTTACTAGTAATGTTTCTCTTGGACATATGAAGATGTTCAGTTGCATGAATTTTGTCGTACGGAATAGCATTTGTCTCACCGAGCTCAATTTTCACATCACGGTACCTGAAAAGTACTCTTTCCCATTTCTCATTTGCCTACCTTGGACCTTCATCTGATGTCCTAGTTCTCCCATTTCCTAAAGCATGATTCTCAAGTATTTTCTCACTCGAATTCAGCACCTGACATCCTTTGCCATTCGGCGCCCTCACGTTTGCATGCCCCAACGTCACACTATACCAAGGGTGAGCATTCTTTCTCCGTACCTGCAAACGCCATTGTTCCAGCTGCCTTGAGGGCAGGCAGCACCTAGTAGGAGCAGAATGGCGACCAACAAACAGCACTGCCGCAGCATCACTTTCCTCCTGGCGCACACAACAAGACAGTTGACTGCTTCTCTCTTTGTGCCGCTGCCGCAGCTGCTTCTCTCTCTGTACCGTGTCTCCAGGTACCATTGAGTTGAGGGGACATTCTTTCTTAGGTACTGTGCAGGAAATTTGAGATACCAACCATAAACAGAATTTGGAATCAAAGCCCGCTATAAAGGATTAGACTAACTGAATTCTATCCTTGTATCAATCCATTCTCCATTCTCTAGAGAACACAGTAATTTACCGTATCCGGCAAAAACCCTGCTGTTCATGACATGGGAAGGTGGAAGCTCAGCTCACATTGTTGGTTGGCAGGTGCCACATGCACCACATGCACATGATTGGGAGTGATGAGCCCTAGGTGGGGCAGCATGAGCATCTGGGTGGGTGGCATGGCATGGCATTTCATTTCCCCCTCCTCCCCCCCCTCTCCACCCCTATTTTGCCTCAGCATGCACCAGGCATGGCGGCAGAAGGCTGGGTCTGCTAATGACCGGAGGTGACGAGACAAGCCTGGGTGGCAAGTGCATGTGCGCAAGTGGCACGTCTGCATCAGCCCCACTCCTTCACCCCTACCTCACCACAGCGGGCAGGGGGCATGGCGGCAGGCGGCTGGGGGCTGTTGCTCATGACCGGGGGTGATGATCCCTCCCGGGTGGGGAGGCATGGGTACCGGTATGTGTATAAGCAGCATCTCTGCATATGTCCCACCTGTACCAAGCGCCTTAGCGGGCAGGGGGCATGGCGGTAGGCGGCTGGGGGCTGTTGCTCATGACCGGGGGTGATGATCCCGGGTGGGGCGGCATGGGCATGTGGCTGGGCGGCATGCCGTGCATGGGAACCATGGGCGGGCGGTGGAAAAAGTGTGGGGGAGGTAGCATCACAGGACCTGGTGGTGGGGTGGGGCGTGGGATGGAGAAGAAAAGCGGAGTGAGGTGGGGATGCAGAATGGCAGGTGGTGGAAGAAGAATGGGGGTGGTGGAAGAAGAATGGGGGTGGTGGAAGAAGAATGGGGGTGGTGGAAGAAGAATGGGGGGCGTGGCAACATCACAGGGACTGGTGGGGAAGTGGGGTGCGAGTAAAAACGAGAAGAAATCAGAGTTTGGTGTTTAAGAATTCTCAGGAAGCAGCTTGCGGTATTCACATCAGACATTAGGCTTTGGCGAGGATACCACAAGGTGCTTCTTGAGAAGGTAAGGTGAGAAGAGGCAGTCGGGCATGGGAGCTATGTGACGGAAGACGCAAGACGCGTCTTGCGTCTAGCATCACGCATCGTCTAGACGCTAGACGCTAGACGCGCGTTTAGACGCTAGACGCTTGGGGGAAAAATTTTCGGGCAGCCCGAAAAAAAAATTCCGCGGGCGAAATTGAATTTCGCGATTTTGATGCGAAATTCAATTTCGCGTCATTTGCACCCCCCCCCACCCATTTCGACCTTAGATTCAAGCCCCCCAGGCAAAATCGAAATTTCCTCAACCAAAATTGAAAACACAAACCCCTCTCAACCGCAAAGCATCTAGGAAACCCAACCCTTAATGGCAAACCAGCAAGGGCTTGGGAAGCACAAATCCCCCATTTGTGCTTCCCATCTTTCATTTCTAGCCAATTCTCTTTCAAAAACCCTCTAGGGTTTAGAGCTACTTACCTCTTGAAGCCATGTCTTCTCCTAGTTCTTCTAGTTCCGCCTCCTCCTCGCATGACGATGCCGTGGGGAAGGCAAGTTCCGCGCATGTTTCCAAGGAGGGTAGTTCCGCGCATGGTAAATGATGATTTTTGTGAACTCTAATTAAGGGGAAAAAGTTTTGGTATGGCGGAAATTTGACCCAAATGTGCTATATATGCATGTACCCCACCCTCCCCATGGTCCTGAGAAGTTTTTTTAGGCTGCCCGAACTTTTTTTTTAGGGCCTGCCCGGGTTTCCGTCTAATCTGCGTCTAATCTAGGCGAAAATGCGTCTAGCGTCTTAGACGCTGCGTCTAGACGCAACCGTCTAAGACGCTAGACGCGTCTTCCGTCACATAGCATGGGAGGCAGTCGGGCATGGGAGGGGGGCAGGGAGCGAGTGGAAAGAGGAGCAGATATAGCTGGATAGATGCAGCGCACGCTCCAATACAGCGCACGCTCCAATACAGCGCACGCTCCAAAACAGCGCACGCTCCAATACAGCGCACGCTCCAATTCAGCGCACGCTCCAATACAGCGCACGCTCCAATACAGCGCACGCTCCAATACAGCGCACGCTCCAATACAGCGCACGCTCCCCTCGGGGCATCCTCATGGGGAAAATCTAGGGAGAGTCCCTCTGCTGGGCAGCCCATCTTGTTGCCGGTGCTTTATTAGGAATTCTCAACACCCACCCACATGGGTCTCACCTCGGGGCATCCCCATGCATATGAAGGGGACCCTTCTGCTGTGCCGCCCATTCTGTTGCAGGAGCTTTTTTTTTTTCTTTTTTAATTCTCAACACCCACCCACATGGGTCTCACCTCGAGGCATCCCCATGGGGTACATTTGAGGGGGACCCTTCTGCTGCGCTGCCATTCCCGCCAATGGTGCGCCCTGCTGTTGCTGCTGCTGTTGCTGTTGCTGCTGTTGCTGCCCTGCCTCTTGCTGTTGCTGTCCTTGTTGCTGGTCTGTGCTTGCTTGCTGTGAGCCCTCTTGCTGCTGCTGCTGCTGCTGCTGCTGCTGTGACTGGTCCTGTTGCTGCTGTGACGGCATCATCATGGGAGCAGGCATCATCTGGGGTGGGCAGCACAAACATGGATAAGCAACAGTAAGACACATTAAACATGAGTGAGGCTTCACCCCAAATACTCTCAACCTTTTCTCAAGTACAAGGTACCTCAACCTTTTCTCGTGCTGCCTACCTTCCCTGCTTCCTAGCATTGCAAATATTAAGCTTCAAATGTATGATACGCCTCACAAGAAACAAACAACACCAACAGCAACACGGGCAGAGACAACAACAGGACAAAAACAAATGCAAAAGCCAGGAGAGTGCGAGGACGGACCTGAGGCATGGGCATGTACATGAGCTGTCCGTGCTGCCCATACATCATGGGCTGGGGAAACCCTTGCGGGCTGAACATCATTGGCACGCCGCCCATGCCGCCCGCCATGCCGCCTCCAGGCATTGGCTGGCCGGCGCCGTGGGGTGCAGGGAGGTAGGGCCGCATGGGAGGGGGCATGCCGGGCGGCATACCGGGCGGCAGCATCCCTTGGGGTGGCATGCCTTGGCCCGGCATGCCTTGAGGTGGCATGCCCTGGGATGGCATGGGCATGAAAGCTGCTGATGGCTGGCGATAAGGAGAGAGGGCAGACGGGACAGGAAAATGGAGAAGATTGAGGGATTTGATGCAAGGGAGAAAGGAGCAACTGAACGGAAGGGAATAGAGAGGAAAGAAGGAGCACTATGGAGGACGATGCAGAGAACTTAGTTGCGGGGAACTTTGAGGGAACGCGAAACATGACAACAGGAAAGTCTGAAGGGGTGGAAGAAGTTTGGACAGCAAAGCTTACCGAAGTCAACAAAAACAGAGAAACGAAGAAAATGCTGAGATGCTGGCTAGAACTATTGCCAGAAATAAGAACAGGATGACAAACCTGCTGCTGCGGCTGCCACTTGCTCATGTCACTTTGATCAGAAAAACTCCCATCCCCCTGGTCCCCCTGCTGCCCCTGCTGTTGCTGCTGCTGCTGCTGTTGTCCATAATGCATTTGCTGCTGCTGTTGCTGCTGTTGCTGCTGCTGTTGCTGCTGTTGCTGCTGCTGCTGCTGGTGCTGCTGCTGCTGACCATAATCCCCGCCATCCCCCTGTCGGTGTCTGTGCTGCTTGTCCTGCTGATGGTGCCGCTGCCGCCGCTGGTGCCCTGATCTTGGCTGGTGTGCCTGATGTTGCAGCTGCTGCTGCTGCTGCTGCTGCTGATAGTGATGATTATAATTCTGATTTTGATTCTGATTCTGATTTTGATTTTGATTCTGATTTTGATTTTGATTCTGGTTCTGGTTCTGCACTTGTCCTGCTGCTGTCCCTGCGCCCTGCCCGTCACCTTGCCCTTGAATGCTTCCCCCCCCTCCACTCCCCCCAAACTCCCCACCATCACTCCCGCCTTCCCCTTGCTTCCCCCCTTCCTTCCCCCCACTACCCCCTCCTGTAAATCCTTGCTGAGAGAACAACGCCTGCTGCTGCTGTTGCTGCTGCTGGGGCGGCATGTACATGGGCTGGGGAGCCACAGCCAATGGCGGCATGCCACCTGGCACCGAAACAGGGATGGGTATAAGCCCTGCCGCCCCTGCTTGCCCCACAGGGGGAACGGACCCGGGGGAGGGTAGGGGGAGGGGGAGCGCGGAAGCAGGGGGGGTGGGGGCGCCAGGGGTGTTGGTGGGGGGGATGGGGGAAGACAGAGCGGGGGAGGGGGGAGGAAGAGGGGTTGGGAGGTAGATAGGGGCGGGGAAGGGGATAGGGGCGCCAGGGGCGGAGGGGGGTGCGCCAGGGAGGGGTTGAAAGGGGAAGGGGTGGTCTGGGCGGGGCTGGGGGGGGATGGCGGAGGGGTAGGCGGGGATGAAGGGCGGGGGGAGAGGGGGCGGAGCAGCTGCGGGCATGGAGAAGGTGGGGGTGAAGACCTTGGCGTTGGGATTGAACTTAAACTCCTGGGTGGGGGGGAGGGGAGGGGGCGGCGAGGGGGAAGGGGAGAGGGAAGGAAAGAAGAAAGGATAGGAAGAGGGTGAGAGAGCGATAGAAGGGGGAAGGGGAGGCGGGCATGGCGAAGGTGCGTGTGAAGACCTTGGCGTTGGGATTGAACTTGAACTCCTGGGGGGGTGAGGGGGAGAGGGAGGGGGAAGGGGAGGTGTAGAAGAGGAAGCAGGTAAGTGAGAGATGGGAGTTCCAGAAGTGGGGGAAGAGGAGAGGGGGAAGGGATGGGGAAAGGGAAGAAGATAGGATAGGAAGCGGGTGAGTGAGTGCGATGGGGGGGGGGGGGAAGAGGCGGGTATGGCTGAAAGTGGGTGTATAGACCTTGGCGTTGGGGTTAAACTTGAACTCCTGGAGTGGGGGGAAGGGGATGGGGAGGGGGAAGGTACGAGAGGGGGGTTTGAGGGGCAAACGCAGATGGCCTGACCTGACGAGGTGTGTGTGAGTGAGAGTCCGTGGGCTGAATGAGTAAGGGCCAAACTGTGTATGGGCCAAGTATATGGGTGTGTGTGCGCATGCATGTGGGGAAGTGGAAAATTCTGAGAGAAAGGAAAAAGGGAATGTTGGAAGCTGGGTGGAGAGAGGGATGAAACGGACAAGAGAAAGGAAAGGAAAGGGACGGGAACGAGACAGGGAGGAAGAGAGAAGGTGAGACGAGAGCATGGGAGAAAGAAACGAAGGCCAATTCACACCTTGGCGTTTGGATTGAGGGTGGATTTTTTCACAGCAGCAGGAGCACCACTTGCAGAAGCAGCAGGAGCATTGCTGCTGCCTGCTGCTCCCTCCTCTGCCACCTTCCCTGCCGTTCCTGCTGCTGCCCCAACCCCGCCACCGCCAGTATCACCACTCGGCACGTCTGTTGCTGCTACTGTTTCACCACCTTCGTTGCCTCCTCCTGTCCCCACCCCACCATCTGCTGCTTTCCCTGTGCTCTTTTCCTGTTCGCCTGGCGCTGATGCTTCGCCAGAAGCAGGTTTCCGCGCCAGAGCTTTCGCTGCTGAGGTGGCAGCCGGCGCTGACGTGGCAGGAGCGTCCAAGGAATGCGAGTGCGAGCGTGCCAGGTTGGACGGCGACGGGGAACGGTATGACGTGGCGGGAGCCGCGGCAGAGGAGACAGCAGCGGAGGAGGAGGATCGGAGGAGTGCCGAGGCTGCAGAGGCAAGGAAGGGCTTTAGGTCCGGGGAGGAGTGGGAGCTCTCGAGATAGGTGGGGGTGTTGCGACCGGAAGAGCGACCTGCAGGGGAGAGGGAGGGAAAGGGACAAGAGATGGAAAAATCGGAGGCGAAAAGGGAGGGAAGGGTGTAGGGTGTTTTAAGGGCTTGAGGTCGAGGGAGGAGTGAGAGCTCTCTAGGTAGGTGGGGGTGTTGCGACCCGAGGAGCAACCTGCAGGGCATGGTTGGGGGAAGGGCAGGAGGAGGGAGGGAGCAGAGGTTATGAGGCAGCAGCGGCGAGGCGGCAGCGAAGGCGAGGAGGCAGCGAAGGCAAGGAGGCAGCGAAGGCGAGGAGGCAGCGAAGGCGAGGAGGCAGCGAAGGCGAGGAGGCATTGATTGGCGGGGATGAACAAGGAGGGAGGATGGGAGATGACGCAAAAGAAGAGACGATGGATGTGTGGAGGGGTTGAATTGAAGGCTATGTGGGAATATACGCTCTGGACTACTCGCCCCAAAAATTTTCGGGCAGCTTGGTGACATAGAAATAGACAATTCGAGCAACGAAATTGGCATTCGCGATTTCATGCGAATGCAATTTCGAAGTGGATCTGGTTCAATTTCGTCAACAAAGCCAGATCCAACAACTTTTCCATGCAATTTCTCTTGCTACCGCATTTCACACCTCTAACAAAGCCAACCCATCAGCACTGTCGTAAGTAGATCGACCAACTCTGTAGGCACATTTCTCGACTAGAGTTACTCGACAATTATGTTTCCCTAGCTGCGCACCTAGAAGTATGAAGTTGAGCTGACTAAATTCACTTCTACGGTGCAACAGAAATTGAAGCCGTAGTAACGTTCACCAGCGTGATTTCGTGGCGGAATATTGTAGCATGACAATTTTTGGATTGTGTGGTATTCCGCCTCCCATTCCCCATTTTTCCGCCTCTCAACCCCCTTTTTCCCCCCTGCCCGGAGAAATATTTTTGCCTGCCCGAACCAAGCGTATATCTAGCTTCCAGGGATGGACATCAGAGCGTCCAGCGTCTGGACGCTGGCGTATAAAACGCTGGACGCGTATATTCTCACTTAGGTTGAAGGTAGAGCAAGCAGGAGAACTGGCGGAGGTGGCATGACTGGGGTGGGCACCAGAGATGAACAAGACTCACATGAAGAGACAGGAGAACGCGAATCGAATTGCTGAAGATATGGCCACCACGATTCCATTTTCATCAAAAGCAGGGAGGATTGCCAGCCGGAGATCCAGCAGGAGCAGCAGCCAGAGGGAGGTACGCACAGTGAGTGGGAGGGGAGGAGAGACACACAGAAGGGGGGAGGGGAGTATGGACGGATCCAGTTAGTTGAAAGCGCCGTACGAGGCTTCAGAGGTGGCAATAGAGACCAGCTTTGAGGCAGGTGAAAAAAAAGAATTGTGCCAGCTCAGAACACTGCAGCCCGCCTCTCCCCACTTTCCAACCCGAAGTCAAGTTGACTTCATGTGTTTCTGCGGTGTCTGCACATACTCCCCACTCCCCCTCCCCCTTTTCTGCCCAGCCCCCCACCTTGCCCAGCAGGTCGCTGCAGGAGCGCACCCCCTCAAACTCCCTCCAGCAAACCCCCCTCCTCCCCCCCCCACCCCCCCCACGTTCCAACCTTGCACACCTCACCTCCCAACCACTCCCACCTTCCCCAGCAGGTCGCTGCAGGAGCGCACCCCCTCGGCCTCGTCTCGCATGCGCCGACTCCTCTGCTTGAACTCCTGGAACTCACTGTGAGGAGGGGTGGAGAGGGGTGGAGAGGGGCGGTGAGGGACGGAGAGAGGAAAGGGGCGGTGACAGGGAGGGGTGAGGATGTGTCTCTGCTTGAACTCTTGGAGAGAGGACAAGAACGGTGGGAGAGAGGAGTTCCACTTAACGTGCAGTGTTCCACTCAAGCGGCAGTCACTCTGGTCTGGACCAGCTTGAGTGCCTGCAGTCTGGGAGGCGGTTTTTGAGACGTCTCCAAAATGCCCTTTTATCACAAGACAAGGACAGTAGGAGAGCGTGTTCCACCTAACGTGCACGTCCGTGCATGTGCACTCCAGACCAGCTTGAATTGAAAGCCTGCGTGTTGGTAGAGGCATGTCGCTTGCTTGCACTGCCCGTCGCCCAAACGCATTCTAATACACCCACAACCCCCCTCCCAAACCCACACCCACCCCCACCCCTCCTCACCCACCGGTACACGTCATCAGACAGGTGCGGCACGCTCTGGTCGAGGTTGAGCGCCTGCAGGTTGGCGGGGGCGTCTGAGAGCAACGGGGACATGAGAGGCGAGCGGCGGGACGGGCTGCCAGTGCCGTGTACCTGGAACAGCCCCCCTGATGCTGCCTGAAGGGAGAGGGGGAGGGGGGGGGGGGGGATCGGGGAAGGGGGAAGGGGGGAGGGGGGAACAGGGGGAGGAGGAGAGCAGCGGCGACATGAGGGGTGAGTGGCGCGATGGGCTGCCAGTGCCATGGCACCTGGAAGAGTCCCCCTGATGCCGCCTGGTGGGAGGGGGGTGGGGGAGGGGTTGGGGCAAGAGATGGAATAAGGCGGGGAAGTGAGCGAGAGGGGCGAGTGGCGCGATGGGCTGCCGGTGCCGTGCACCTGGAACAGCCCTCCTGATGCCGCCTGGTCAAGGGCGGGAGGGGGAGTGGGGAGCGAAGCGGGAAACAGAGGGGGAGGAGAGAATGGGTGGGTGCCGTGCACCTGGAACAACCCTCCTGATGCCGCCTGGTGGGAGAAGGGTGGGGTGGTGGGGAGAGGGTGGGGGAATGGGAGCGAGAGAAGTGGGAGCGGGAGAAGTGGGAGAGGCGGGCAGGGACATGAATGAGGAGGGAGAGGGGAATAGAGGGAAGGAGGTTGAGCGCCTGCAGGTTGGCGGGGGCGTCTGAGAGCAGTGGTGACATGAGGGGCGAGTGGCGCGATGGGCTGCCAGTGCCATGCACCTGGAACAGTCCCCCTGATGCCGCCTGGTGAGGAACCGATGGGAGGGGGAGAGAGAAATGGGCGAGGGGAGAGGGAACAGGGGGGTGAAAGTGAGCATGGGTGAGGAAGCGCGGGTGCAGGTAGAGAAGTGGAGTGGGGAGAGAAGTGGAGTGGGGAGAGATGAATGGAGTGGGGAGAGAAGTGGAGTGAGGAGAGATGAATGGAGTGGGGAGAGAAGTGGAGTGGTGAGAGATGAATGGAGTGGGGAGAGATGAATGGAGTGGGGAGAGATGAATGGAGTGGGGAGAGATGAATGGAGTGGGGAGAGATGAATGGAGTGGGGAGAGATGAATGGAGTGGGGAGTTGGCAATATGATTGGCCAAAAACGAGCAAGGCGTTTGAAATGACCTCTGAAGACACCAGCAAGCAATGGGATGAGTGGAGTGGGGGAGTAGGGGAAGGGGAACAGGCTATGAAGCAATCAGACATGCTTGCGTCCCAAGGAGGGAGGAGGTGAGGGACGGATGAGTGTGGTATAAGTTGACGATGCGGCAAGCAGGGCCACATTTCCTACTCTCGTTTGCCGTTCCCAGTTAGGATTTCGTTCCTCATCCCCGTTCCCCACTGCCCGATGACTTTTGAGACGTCTCAAAAGTTTGCCGTTCTCATTTAGAATCTCGTTCCTCAATCCCGTTCCCCACTGCCCGATGCCCCCCGTTCCCACACCTTGACGAGGCGGCGCGGGTGCATACGCAGGCGAAGGTGCGAGGGGATGGTGGGAAGATCAGTAGCAGAGAGAGCACCACTGGCACCGCTGGCGCCACTGGCAGATGAAGTGGATGATGCTGATGACGATCGTGATGCCCCCACTGCCACCTTCCCTCCCTCGCCTCCTTCCCCTCCTTCCCTTTCTTCCCTTCCTTTCCGTCTTTCTCGCCCTCCTTCCTCTCCCCTTTCCCGCCCTCTGCTGCTCCCTTCGTCCCTTCCTCCTCCTTTTCCTCGGTTCCACTTATCCCCTGCGTCGGCTTCTCTCCCCTCTCCATCTCGTCACCGCTGCCACCCGCAGTCGTTTGCGTGGCAGATTCCGTCCGTTTCTCGCCCTTGTCTGCAGCTCCTAGGGCGGCAGCTTCTGTCTGCTTCTGGCTTTCGCCTGAAGCGCTCTTGGCAGCAGATTCAGACGAAACACCTGGAGTAGGCAGCAAGGGGGGCGCCTTGGGCTGCGGGTAGCAAGCAACATGCAGGGAGGGTTGCAAAGAGACGCAGCGAGGAGAGAAACATGAAGGGTTGAATTGGGCACCACTTTTGAGACATCTCGATTGCAAGGGGGGCGCCTGCGGCTGGGGGTAGCAACACGCAGGGAGGATTGCATAGAGAAGCAGAGAGGAGAGGAGCACGCAGGGTTGAATTGAGCAGCAGCAGGGATGAGAGAAGAGAAAAGGAGAGAATCAGGTGGGCAGAGGGGGAGGCACATGTGTCATATGCCATCTTCACTGGACCTAAGCCTATCAACCACCAATTACATTGCAACCACGAATCTCACATTCACCAGCCGCACATTCACCAACCGCACATTCACCAACCGCACATTCACCAACCGCACATTCACCAACCGCACATTCACCAACCGCACATTCACCAACCGCACATTCACCAACCGCACATTCACCAGATTCCCCACCAGCAGCAACACCACATCCGCCCCCCACTCCCTCCCGCCCACCTGATCCAGACTGTACCGCACCCCTTCTCTCCCCCACCTCCGTCTCCCCCTCGGTCCAATCCAACCCCAACTGACTTACACTGGAATCCACCTCATCATTCATCCATTCCGCTGTCCACACTCACCCACCCCTTCTCTCCCCCACCTCCCTCTTCCCCTCGCCTTTTGAGGCGCCTTAAAAGTCCTCTTCGTCCATCCATTCCGCTGTCCACATTCACCCATCCTTTCTCTCCCCCACCTCTCTCTTCCCCTCGCCACACCCCACCCCCAAGTGACTTACAGTGCCGTGCACGGTGGTGGGTGCAGCATCACCGAAGGTCTCATCGTTAGCGTCATCCACCTCGTCGTCCATTCCGCTGTCCAGGTCAGCGCTGGGGTACATGATGTGATGGGTGGGTGGTATGGGTGGTACGGGTGGTGTGGGTGGTGTGGGTGGTGTGGGGACCGGCAAGGGGGTCGGTGAGGGTGCAAAGGTGCATCAGTCACCTCATCGTTGGCATCATCCACCTCGTCGTCCATTCCACTGTCCAGATCAGCGGCGCTGCATGGGTGCATGGGTGCATGGGTGCATGGGTGCATGGGTGCATGGGTGGGTGGTACGGGAGGTATGGATGGTGTGGGGACCGGCAAGGGGGGTAGGTAAGGGTGCAAAGGTGCATGGGTCATCTCATCGTTGGCATCATCCACCTCGTCGTCCATTCCACTGTCCAGATCAGCCCTGCAGCGCAGAACATGATGTGATGGGTGGGTGGTATGGGTGGTGTGGGTGGTGTGGGGACCGGCAAGGGGGTTCGGTAAGGGTGCAAAGGTGCAGCATCACCGAAAGTCTCATCGTTGGCATTATCCATCTCGTCGTCCATTCTGCTGTCCAGACTAGCGCTCTAGCGCAGAACATGTTGTGACGGGTGCGTGGTATGGCAACATAAGTGGTATGGGTTGTTGTAGGTCAGGGTGGCATGGGCGAATCATCCGCCTTATTGTCCCTTCCACTGTCCAGATCAACTCTGCAAAGCAGAACATGATGGGTGGTACGGACGGGTGGTGACCTAAGTTGGATAGATTGACGCTCTCGCAGGGTGGTGTCAATGTCAAGCGTCAAAACGCTTGTGTGTGATGAGTCAATTTCTTAGTCGACTCAAACTCGCCCTTGCAGGGTTGTGCGAATGTCGAGCGTCAAAACGCTTGCAGGTTTCCACAAAGTCTCTTTAGTCACGTCAATGCCGACTGTCCAGCGTTACAGCCACTTTTAAGTTGATACACTCGACTCGACCCTCACCTCTCTCAACACTCATGCGGAGCGGATGACCGACGAGTATTTGGTCTCCTCTTCAATATCATCACCATCATCATCATCCCACGCGCATTATACACAGCCACTTCTCTAAGTTGACTCAAGAATACACTCAAACATCTCTCAACACTCACGCGGAGCGGATGACCGAAGAGTACTTTGTCTCCTCGTCAATGCCATCATCGTCATCATCGCACGCACTGTCTGTCTGCTGCGGTGGTTTGAGTCGACTAGAAAATACTCATTCAACTCCCTCTCTCCCCCAACACTCACGTGGAGCGGATGACTGAAGAGTACTTGGTCTCCTCGTCAATATCATCGTCATCATCCCACGCACTGTCTGCATTGCCGCCCAGGGCCCCAACAGCAGCGGCAGATGGGTCATCCGAGGAAAGGGCCGCCTTGACTGCCGATGCCAGTGTGCGCGCTGCATTGCGCAGGTGGAAGCCCCGCTCCTGATGGGGGGAACATGAGAGGGGCATGCGGACGAGATGAGCAGAAGATGAGTGGAGGATGATGCATGCCATGCCAGTGTGCGCACCGCATTGCGCAGGTGGAAGCCTCGCTCCTGATGGGGGGTTTGTGGGGAGGGCGATGAAGCATGAAGATGAGAGAGGGATGAGGGGGAGAGAAAGATGGTCATGAGAGGAAGATTGGTCATCAGAGGAGAGGGCGGCCTTGACTGCCGAGGCCAGGGTGCGGGCTGCATTGCGCAGGTGGAAGCCTCGCTTCTGATGGGGGGGTGTGGTGAGGGCGATGGGGACGAGAGAAAGGAGGAAGACGGGAGGATGAGGGAGAGGGAGATGAGTGGGGAGACGAGGGGGAGATTTACCTGCAGTCTCCCTTGCTTTGCAACTCTCTCTGCATACACCCGCAGCTCCCCTGCGAGCATGCCTGCACTTCATGCATCTTTGCATCAGCCCAAACCCCAAATTCCCCGCCCTCCCCCCGCCTTCCTCACCTCAGCAGTGTGCATGTTCCGGCTGGGCTGTGACTCAATTTCCCTCCAATCCGCTCAGCATGCGCCTGCAGCTCCAGTGAGTGCAAGCAAGCAAGCAGGCAGCACACACATACCAACCCACCATCATTCATCCTCACCTCAGCAGTGTGCATGTTCCGGCTGGGCTGTGACTCAATCTCCCTCCAATCTGCTCAGCATGCGCCTGCAGCTCCAGTGAGTGCAAGCAAGCAAGCAGGCAGCACACACATACCACCCCACCATCTTTCATCCTCACCTCAGCAGTGTGCATGTTCCGGCTGGGCTGCGACTCAATCTCCCGTGCAATCCGCTCAGCATGCGCCTGCAGCTCTCGGGACGGCCGCACCAGCGGCGTCGTGTAGATGGCCTCGTCGAACGACGTCTCCACACCGAACAGCTTTCGGTTCGCCTCGAATTGGTCCCACGCTCTGTGAGTGGTGGTGGGAGGGTGGAATGGTGACAACAGGGAGAGGAGGGCGAGCGAGGGTGTGTGTGTAGGAAAGCGGAGTCGTGTAGATGGCCTCGTCGAACGATGTCTCCACACCGAACAGCTTCCGGTTCGCCTCAAACTGGTCCCACGCCCTGGCAGTGCATGGGGAAGAGGGAGGGAAGGGGGGCGGGTGAGATGATGCAGGGGGGAGGGAGGGGGGGTGGGTGAGATGTTCATGATAGAATTCAAGAATGGTTGAGTAATGAGCCAAAGAGGCTCTATAGTACATGTCAGATTACCATCTTCATTGTAACCTGCATCATCATATAAGCTTTGACTAGAGATAGGCACCCAAACTTAGTTTGGGTGCACAACTAGGGTTTACCCTAGTTTGAGGTTGGAACCCAACCTTGGCCCAATTATTGGCCCCCAAGGTTGGGTTGGGAGATTATTGGCCCCCCCAATAATGTTGACCCACTTTTGGTCAACATTATTGGTCCCCCCAATAACTCCTCAACCCAACTTATTGGTGGGGGCCAATAATGTTGGCATGGCTCCTACATCCTAGCTCAACTATGTAAACCCATGCCCTTCCTAATGAAACTATCGGTTGTTCTTACACTTTCTCACATGGTATTCAGAGCAACTACGGCTCACACCATCTCGATCCTAAGGACCGCACATACCGCGTGCTATATCACGCCCCCCTCTCTCACGCGACACTACGTCGCCCTTTGCGCCTAGTGCGCCCCTACGCCGTCACGCCCCCCCCCTCCCCCTTGCGCTAAATTTCAGCGCCCCCCTCCCTCCTTTCTACAGTCAATTCCGCCTCTCGCGGCTCTCCCCTCTCTCCCACTAACCCATCAACCGTCGGAACGGCCACGCCAACCGTCGGAACGATCCGCGCAACCGTCGGAACGATCTGCGCAACCGTCGGAACGACCAGCGCGACCGTCGGGACGGCCAGCACGAGCGACGGAACCCTAATCGCGGGCGGACGCCACACCCGCGACGAGCATCGGCGACCGCCGCGACCGACGAAACCCTAATCGCGGGCGGACGCCACACCCGCGACGAACGACGGCCGCGGACGCGACGAGAACGGGCGACCGCCGCGGACGCGACCAGCGGGGGCGGACGCCGCGGACGCGACCAGCGCGGGCGACCGCCGCGGACGCGACCAGCGGGGGCGGACGCCGCGGACGCGACCAGCGCGGGCGACCGCCGCGGACGCGACCAGCGGGGGCGGACGCCGCGGACGCGACCAGCGGGGGCGGACGCCGCGGACGCGACCAGCGAGGGCGGACGCCGCGGACGCGACCAGCGAGGGCGGACGCCGCGGACGCGACCAGCGCGGGCGGACGCCGCGGACGCGACCAGCGCGGGCGGACGCCGCGGACGCGACCAGCGAGGGCGGACGCCGCGGACGCGACCAGCGCGGGCGGACGCCGCGGACGCGACCAGCGAGGGCGGACGCCGCGGACGCGACCAGCGAGGGCGGACGCCGCGGACGCGACCAGCGCGGGCGGACGCCGCGGACGCGACCAGCGCGGGCGGACGTCACGGACGCGACCAGCGAGGGCGACGCTGCGGACACGACCAGCGCGGGCGGACGCCGCGGACGCGACCAGCGAGGGCGACCGCTGCGGACGCGTCCAGGAGCAGCCGCGTGTCGTCAAGGCACAGCTGCAGGCGACGAGGCGCAGCCGCGGGCGACGAGACGCAGCCGCGGGCGACAAGGGGCAGCCGCGGGTGACGAAGCGCTGCCGCACGCAACGTGACCGCGCCACCCCTCCAGGTGGTGTCGTCTTTGACCGCACCCGCCCTCTAGCCGGTGTCGTCACCCTCTCCCCCCCCCTCCTCCCCCCTCATGGCGGACGACTCTACTCCCATTGAACTCGGAGCTATCGATAAGCTCGAACTCCTCCATGACACTACGGCCGTGAACTGGGCGTCGTTTGAGGACACACTTCACACCCACCTTGGCTCTGTCATTGTTCAAGACTACTGTCTTCTTGATGTAGTTCTTGAGCACCCTAACGGCCTTCCACCCGTCCCCCTCCTCCTCTTGAGCCTCCTCCTCCTGATGCCCCTCCTCCCCCAGAGCCTCTGTCTGATCCCCCTCGTGCCCCAGTTCATGATGACAACCCAGATCGATGGGCGGCCAACTTGAACAACTACAACAAGCTTCGCGATGCCTACACCATCCAGCGTGAGGCGCACCGTGCTGCTGAGAAGGCTCACGCTGATGCTACTGCGCGTATCCTCTCCTACGCACAGGATGAGAAAGACTATGCTGATGAACTTCGCAAGTTCAACAAGGATACTGCAGCATGGCGAATTGCGGATCGCCGCGCTCTAGCCATTATCTTCTCCTGCATCCCTTCCCATCTCAAACGTGACCTCCGCCCCACCTCCTCCTCTGGCCTCTGGAAAACCCTGTCCACTCAGTACGACCGACAGGACCTTCGCTCTCTCCTTGCTCTCTTTCGCAAATTTCAAGACACCACTCTTGACTCATCCCCCACTGCTGCTGCCTTCACTCGGCGCCTCATCGACACTGCGCAACGTCTCAACGACCGCGGCATTGTCATTCATGAATCACTTCTCACTGCACGCATCCTCGACTGCCTTCCACCCACATACGATACCTACCGCATCACCTTTACCTCTAGGTACCGCCATCCTCCTCCTGTGGCTGACACAATCGACTGGCTCCTTGACAGCGAAGCGGACATCCAACGTGACTCCACCACCATCAATGCTATCCAGGCTCGCAAAACTCCCGCAGGCAACCACAGCAGCGGCGGAGGTAGCGGCTCAAGCGGTACTGGCGGTGGCGGTGGTGGACGAGGTGGTGGGCGAGGCGGTGGACGCGGTGGTGGTCGTGGTGGCGGCCGTGGTGGGCGTGGCAAAAACCCCTCTCCCTCGGGTACCCTTCCCCCGTGTCAGTACATCATTCGCTATGGCTCCAACAAAGGTCAGCCTTGCGCTCAAACCACTCACACCACTGACACGTGCTTCAAAGCCCTCACTGATGAGTGGTTTGCACGTGGCAATGTCGGCACCCCACCTCGATGGAACACCATCTTCCCGCGCCCCTCTCTCCATGACATACGCACTCTCCCCGCCTATCAACCCTCCACCCCTAATCTTCACAATGTCCTCACTGAGCATCTCCCACCTCATATCCTCCAGCAAGTTCAACATCTTCTCCCTTCATCTCCTCCCACTCCCACCCCTCCCACCCCTCCCATTCCCCCTTCACCCACACCTCCTCCTCAAGCCCCTCCCCCCCACTATCCTCCGCCCTATACCGGCTGGCCATACCCTCCTTATCCACCTCCTCAATACGGCCCTGTGCTTCCTCCACCTGCTACCACTCCTACTGACCAGCCCTCCTCCTCCTCCAATCCTCCTGGCTTCACTCCGTTCCCTTCTGCTGGATTCATAGGACATGTTAGCACTGCTTCTCCTGCTCCTTCAATGTATGCCCATGCTATTAATGAGACATCCTTCCAGTATTCCGCTTCTTCCTCCTCCTCTACACTCCTTGAGTTCATTCTTGACAGCGGCGCTACACACACTGTCCTTCGGGACGCAGGCACACTAGTCCCCCTCCCCACTCCCTCCACCATTTACGGAGCCGACTTCAGCTTCACCATCACAAGTCGACACACCTCCACTCTCCCCTGCCCCATCTTCCCCTCAGGCACAGTCACAGGTCTACACGTCCCCTCCCTACGCAACAATCTGGTAGCACTTCGTGACCTCCCAAGGTTAGGTGTCACCGCCATCTTCCCCGGACATGCACTTCACTGCGACCTCTTTCACACCATCACTGGTCGCTTCATCTGTCGTATTCCCCTCTGCCCACACACAAACCTGTACACATACCGCACCCCTCGCCCCTCCATCCACCAACTCACCACTCCCACCTTACTTCCCCCTCACTCCCTTCCCCCTCCCCTCTCCCCCCCCTCCTCCCCTCCCCTTCTTCCCCCCTTCCCTCCCCTCCCTCCCCCCCTCCTCTTGCCTCCCCTCCCCCTCCCTCCTCCCCCTCCCCTCCCTCCTCCCCCTCCCCTCCCTCCTCCCCCTCCTGTCACTGTCGTGACCTTACCCATCCCGCCGTCCTCCTTCACCATCGCTTGGGTCATCCCAACTTTGCCACCCTTCGTCAATCTGTCTCCTCTCAACTTCTTGAAGGACTTCCCCTCACCCTCCCCCCTCTCCCCCCGTCGCCCTCCCCTCCCTGCTCAGTTTGCGTTGAAAGCAAACTAAAGCAAGCCCCCCACAAGAGTCATCCCTCCTTCTCTCCCCAACCCATTGATCTCGTCCACATGGACCTCTGGGGCCCCAATCCCACCCCCACCAGGCAAGGTCATCGCTACCTGCTCATACTGGTAGATGACCACAGTCGGTACTCCACTGTCTCTCTCCTTCGCAAGAAGGCGGAGGCCCCGGCTGCCATTATTGCCTGGGCTGAACAAGCACGCACCCATTTCAAACGCCCTGTCTCTCGCTTCCATTCCGATGGCGGCGGTGAGTTCCTTAACCGGATGCTTTCCTCCTACTGCTCCACCCATGGCATTATCCACACCTACACCCTTCCTCATTCCCCTCAGCAAAATGGTGTGGCGGAGAGCAGGGTTCGGGAGGTCACCAAGACCGCTCGATGCCTCATGGTCCATGCCTCCTGCCCGCCTTCTCTGTGGGGTTATGCTATCCTCCACGCCGCCATCCTCACTAATCTCTACCCCCATCCCTCACGGCCCACCACTACTCCCACCGAACTCTGGACCTCCACTAAACCCGACATCTCCCCCCTGCGCGTGTGGGGCTCCAAGGCGTATGTTCTCATACACCCTGAGGACCGTTCACGTGCAGCTGGGAAACTTGCCTCCCGCACCCTCCCTTGCATCTTCATTGGTCATAACCCCACCTCCCCGGACTACCTCTTCCTCCACCCCCCCTCAGGTCGTCTCATTCGTAGTCGGG